AATGTTCTTTGTGGCCTCAGAAGTGGTTGTATTGAGTGACTCCTGGTTAGGTGTGTGTGCATAGTTGCACACACAGTCATACAGAGGTGACCTCTGTAAGTGGGAGGGAGCTGCATTGAGGTATACTGGGACTACTGGCTGGGCAGCTGTAGCTGCTTCTGTCTAGGCTGTGCACAGTCTGAAGATCTATCCTTGGCAGTCCAGCTGGTTGGGGGTTGAGGTGGGGGGTGGGGAGCTGGGCTCTCAAGATAGCTTTCCCACAGTATAAGAAGACAATTGGCAAGCTTACCTTTCTTTTCTACAAAATTCCCTCTTCCCATGTGGTCACCTCCCACCCAGCCCATGCCTGTCCCCCAACACTCAGGTGCTTTCAGATTTCAGAGTTCCGGGCAGTGGACATAGGACATCTCTGGCAAGCTTTGGGCTAGATATACCACCAGCTCAAGGGAGAGTGCCAGATCCTGATGAAAATTATTTCTCTCCTGGTCCTTTGTTCTTCTACCAGGATGTAGGGAGCCCTCTTCTTCTCTAGTGAATTCTACCACCTTCTCCCTGAGAATTGCTGTGCTCTGTATTGAGAGCACCTGCCTGCTGAGTTAGCTCAAAGGCAAGCCAGATCTTTCCCCTATGACTGGCAACTTGTAGTGCTTATTTAGAGCAATGTCCAGTCTAAGAGATTATCCCTTATAACTGCTGATTATCTGTTACTGCTGCCCTGAGCTGGGGCCCAAGGGCTGGGAAATCTGTTGGTGCTACCCTGCCCTACCATTCACTCAGCTCACTGACTGCCAACAGGATGTGCTGTTTGGCCAGTTCCTTTCCATTCACCCATCCCTCCTCTGCCCCTCTACCAAATGTGTTTACCTCTCTGCTTTGCCAACATAGTCAGCAGCTTTAGCCAACAGGCCTCTCCTGGCCCAAATGTCTCCGGGCCATTCTGTCACAGTTATGGCTTTTTACACCCTCAACAAGATTCTGTATTTTATCCCAGTTTCCTCCTCCTAATTTACTATTGAGGTTACTTCCATCACCTCTAAGGAGGGAACAATAGTTGTTATAAAAGCATTTGCGCTTTATATAAAGATTTAAAAAAAGAATTTGCTTTTATTTCCCAAAGTCTGTCTCTGGAGTTGAGACACCTGAACTCAGGCAGAGGCACGAGGTTAGGCAGGGCTGCCCTGAATTTTAAGGCCTGTCCCTACATCTCACTTAGACCTCGGAATCTCCTCTGTAAATTCCACCTGCCTAGTTCTCCCCTTTCATCTTCTCTCTCTTCCCACATCACCAGAGAGGAAAAGCTCTCTGTTCAAAAGGAAGAGGAAGCAAAGCATCTTATTTTCTTTTAAAAGAATTTTAAACCATGGAAAAGATATTTTTAAAGAAATCCATCCAGAACATTAAAGTTCATTATATTAAGTATTTATCATGTGTGAGAATAAGTATATAACTGCAGCTAGTAGGTCCCTTTCCCTAATCTTAGGTTGTATGAGTAGGGTTTGCTTGGTGCCAGTCCTGTGCCCTTTTTTCTCCTGTCATCTGTAGTTGTGATCAGAAAAAGATATCTGCACTGCACTGTCAAAATCTCCTTTCAACTATGTTGTGTGTTAAATTACCGTAGCTCTTTGTTTCATGAAATAAACTGTGAATTTTTTTGGGGGGGAGGGGGTTGTGCAGACTGTGTTAAAATTTTTAAGTGGAGAAGTTAGATCATGAAGTAGCTTCTCTGAAGTAGGCTTTGGTAGGTAACTGACTTGGCACCCACTCTAGATATGTCTCACAGGACAGGAAGGAGTGAGGGAGAGGTGGGCTAGGATTGGCTTCTTTGTGGTTTGTTTTGGTCCTTTCTATTCACCACCATTCACTGGAAACTTCACTCCAGAACTGCCTGGGAAAACAACTTCTGAGCTGTGCTTGGTTTTGGAGGGGTTGGTGGGGGGCAATCTTTCATCTAAATACATAATCAACCAGGCTTTCAGGAGGGCCATTTCAAGACTCTGAAGTTAAAATGGAAATAAGTTCAAATGTCAGACTGACTGATCACAGCATCTGATGACAGATTTAGTTAACATCATGAAAGGGTCACAAGAGTCTTCCCAACAGACTCTTACATGACATCAGGGAGTGAAATCGTTAGCCCTTGGAGACTCTCGGAATTTTTTCTGAGACTCTTTTCTCCAGGGGGTGTGAGGCAGTTAAAATGAAATCGTCCCTGAAACTCCTGATCTGATCTTTGTGGAGGATATTTTGATATCTGGCCAAATGCCTGGATATCAGGAACTTTGAGAGTCTGCCTCTAAGCCAGTTCCCCAAGAAGCCTTTCAGAGGGGGGAAGCCATAGTTTCCATAGGTAGCCAGAGAACCGTTACCTCTCCTAACCTTCCTAAAATCAGGGGGAAAAAAATGAAATTTGAATTCAAAGCCTCATTTTCTTTCATTGGATTGAACCCTCTAATAGCAGAACAATTGTTGCTACAAAAGCATCCAAGTTTTAAAATGTCTGCTTCTCCCTAATGTTACTGAGTTTGGGGTGATTGAAATCACCGTGTTGACTCTCTTCTGAACAACTACCAAACTACATCTTCAGCATTGATGAAAATAATTATTTTATTCACTTCCTCCACCCCACACTACGGTCAGGGCATGAAGTGCAGCAGTGCTCCTTTCCTGGGCTTGGCAGCACCTACTCACTGGAGCTGGACTCCCAGGTGGCCTTGTGAGAACAGAGTGGAAGAAATGTACTCTGGTCCTGGCAGCTTCCCCTGTGGAGAAGAATCAGGAGAGCACTAAATGTGGATGGATTTTTGCCCTCTGCACCTATAAAGTGGGCTTCTCCTATGGCTTTTGGGGGAATATTGATTCCTCGTGGGGCTTGTCAGTCAGGAGAGCAGAGTGGCCCAGTGTCATAACCTCTCTGAAATTGTGGCAAGAAAGGAGCTGCCACAAGCCCCTTTTGTTTCCTGCCGAATGTTTGGGCTGTTACCTGTGTTAGACATTCCAGATCATTTAGAGCTAGGTAGCTGCTGCATGAGGCTTTTCATTGGCTATGGCCAGTTAGCTCTCAGCTGAGCTTCCTAGGGCCAGTGCAGCAGGAACAGAGGTTGCTGTAGAATAAATTGAAGTAAGAGTAGATAATTGCTTTGTACACACACAAAAAATGTAATGATGGTGCTAATTTCCTGGTATAAATAAGCACTGCCAATGGTTGAGGGCCTGGTGACTTGAGAAACCCAGGTTCCTGTTTGAGAAAAGATTTTATGTAGAACGGTTTTCTTTGAGGCTATATTGGGGGGTGGGGCGGGGGGAGAAGGCAGAGCTCTAGTGAAGCCTGCACCCAACCCTGGAGTGGTCCAGTGAGATGCAGAGGTAGCAAAGATGCAGTATCCAGAAGGTGGCATTGAGTTTCTCAGGGCGGGTGTCACCTTGTCCATAGCTTCTGTCCACATTGCTTGAAACAGGTTGGTAGAGAGCTCCAGGTGTGGGGGTGCCCTCAGTTATCTTCTGCCCCTCTACCTCTACTCTCATGGGAGCTTCTCTATTGCTTATGAAGATTAAAGGAACTGTTTCTTAAGGATGTGGAAAGAGTTTATTTTAATTACAAATCCACAACCTGGAAAGAAGTGTTGCCAACCACCATAAGCAAAGTCAGCATGCTAAACTCTCCTACATGTTCCCTTCTCTAGAGCTGCTCTCCTGTGACTTTCAGGCTATTGAAAGCCTTCAGGTCTAACACCCTGGGAGTCAACCAAAAGCCTTGTGGACAGGAGGTGAGCCCATGGAGTAGCTGAATGGTTCTGGTACTTGTACTTCCAGGGAAGGGGCAGAGAATAGGGTCTCCAGGTGTGAGGTTGGGCACTGCCTGTGTGTGCATGTAGGTGAGTGTGTTGAAATGGGTGAGTGCAGTACACAGGAGCTCATGGAAAGAGCAGCTTTCTAAATCTTGGCAAAGAAGCTGACGAGATCTATCTATATTTTTAAGAAAGGGGGGCGGTCAGCTGAGGTCCATCACTGTTTTTTTGCCCCAACCCCATAGATTGTCAGCTGTAAGTGAAACTCCTAGTGAAAGAGGGGAGCCCTGTGCTAGGAGTCCCCATAAACATGTACTGTAATTCTTTGTATATAGAAAAATTACTGTAAAGTAAAGTTTAACTTTACTCTTATGGCCCTTGCCCTGTGTTTTGTTTTATTGTCCGTGGGGAGATGTAGCCTCACAGGAGGGAGGATGGGTTTGGATGAGAGCAGATGGCAGCTCTTGGGAGTTCCCAGGTGGGGACTGAGCCCTTCCTTCAAGCACCTCACAGAAGTGGTACAGGTTTCCTCCCAGTAACCACCAGCTGCCAGATGAAATATATCTTTTGGGAGGGGCTGATGTCAGTTTCAGTCCCTAAACAGGAAGTCTCCATCACCCATGAAGGAAGGATATTTTGAGGAATTGGTTTTAAAAAAGGAAGTGGAACCAGGCACTTTCTGAGTGTGAGTCAGATGATCTTGACCGAGTTTTTAGTTCTTCAAAGACAGGTATGGGGCACTGCAGAGAACCCACCACAGGCCAAAGATGCTTCCCCCATGCTAGAAAGGGCTGTCATGTTTCCTACAGTCTTATCTACAGTAAACACTTGATTCTTCAGATTCTTGGACCTCCTGAAATATACTTTGAGGGAAACTTTGGAATTTGCCTCCACTTCTGACCAAATCCTGAACTTAATGCGCCTTTAACAAAAAACCCTCTGGGGGAAAGTGTGGGAAGACAAGCATTTAGTACTACAGTTAGTTTTCACTCGTGACCTTCATAGTCAGAAGTGTACAGTGATCAACGTATTTTACATATGAGCAAGACCAAGTCCTTCTTAAGTGAGTAGGTAATGAATCTGGATCCATTAAGATTTGTCTTGGAGAACCTGTGATTTTTCTACCATTACACCAAACTGTAGGTTGCTGGGACGCTCAGGATCTGAGCCATTGGCATGACTAATTGACTTACACAAGAGATGAGGCAGAGCCAGCCAGTCTAGAGAGGTGTTTGGCCCTTTGATCTCTGGAAGCCACTTTACGGCCTGCCTTGTTCTTCTCAGCACCTAGGAAGGTGTGAGCTTTGCAATGCCCCAACCCTTGCCCCCACTAAATAGGGAAGGGCTGCAATCCTGGGGTGAAGTTACTTGGCTTTCAAATAAGGAAAATAAGAGCTGGGAGGAGACTTCATAAAGAAAGTGAGGTCAGCCAGATGCCCCCAGAAAGAACTAGGTGTCTTGACACCCAATCCACACAGCAGGGAAAGGGGCAGAGTGTGATTCACAGTGCATTGATTTTTATTTACAGATCAGAAGCCACTTAAATCATCTGCAGACACAAGTGCTATCCACGGCAGAACGCTGGGGTGCAAATTAGCCCTTACCCTCCTCATGCCCGTCAGTCAGCCCAATGCTGCCTCTGTTCCATGGGCCAGCACAGGCAGGTGCCACCTTGCTGCCATAGGGACCTAGGGGTAGCTCAGACATTAGACCACCCAAACCCAGACAAGAGCTGGGTCCAGCCTCTGGGGAATTCCTTTAATTCCTCCAGGCCAGTTAAGCGGTGACTTAGTGATGACAACAGCTGTAGAAATAGGGATTTGCTTTCTGGCCCAGGTCCACGCCCTTGTCCTCTGTCAAAGAAAAAGATGGCATCTCAGTAACACTGAGTGGGGGCATCGGTTAACTTGTGAAGGGGGCCAGATGCTGTGGACCTAGACGAAGTCTCCAGAAAAGCTGGGGCAGCACACACCTGTCATCACCTGGAAGGCAGCCACACTGACGTAATCCTCTGCCACTTTCTGGAAGAGCTCGTCTGGCAGGAAAAGGGACAACCAATAAGGGCCTAATTGCCAGTAGCCCTGGGATCACCCAGTGACCCAGCATTCTAGGTTCTCTGCCTCCTCTAATGCCTCTGCCTGTCCTCTGTGATGCCCCAGGACAGCACTCACCTACACTCTGTCCTGTCTTGCTGGATGTTTCAAAGAGCTGAGCTTTGATATCTGTAAAGAAAAGTGACTAAAGCCTGAAGGCTAAAAATCAGGTATAGTAGCTTAGCATTTTGGACACCACTGGCTCAAAGAATCCAGAAAGGGATTTTGGCATGGCAGTTAATGCAGTCCTACATTCCACCACCCACCCAAGCAGTCACTTCCCAACCCCCACCCCGGGACTGAGGAGCAGCTACTTTCTGCATAGTCCTGGACGTCATGGAAGTCCACTCGTCTCCGCCTCCTGTCCTCTTCCAGCAGGTCACTCTTAGTGCCACACAAGTAGATCTGGCAGCCCTGGCACAGAAGACAATGTAAGGGTCATCCATAGGGCACCAGTGCCTCTGGTTCTGTGGTGAGACTTGGCCACCTACCTCCTCCAGATTGCGGAGCTCCTTCACCCAGAACTTTGCTCTCTCAAAGCTACTGCTGTCGGTGAGATCTTGATATGGGAAATGCAGCAAATACAACCAAGGGTCACAGGCTGGTCTTTAGAGCCAGTAGGCACCCACTGTTTTTTTTTTTTGTTTGTTTAAGGAGCAAGCCATAATTCTTACCGTAGCATACGATGGCAGCCTTGGCGCCCCGATAGTAGATTCGGCTCATTGCCTCGTAGCGTTCTGAACCTGCTGTGTCCTAAAGGGTAAAGAAAGGCTCAGCCAACGTTAGTTAAGATTTCTCCTTAATACTCCAAACTAAGGCTAAGTCCTTCAGAGCCCCATTTTTAAACTGGTGTCTAGACTGGAGAAATTGCTGTACCAGTCCACCAGAAATACAGGTAAGTTCTGCACCTCCTCAGGAAAGGGGTCTTCCCCCACCCCCCGCTCACCCCTCCGTTACTTGCCTAGGGCACTTACCCAAATACCCAAAGTCACCGTCCGGTCTCCAACGGACATCACCTTGGCCACGAAGGCGGCCCCAATGGTCTGTATGAGGCGGGGGTGAACCGTCAGTGCCGCGGGTGGGGGCGATCTTCCCCCCTGCCCCCCTCCCCCGTGCCCAGTCCAGTGGGTCACACTCACGTTCTGATAGGGCCCCACCAGGAAGCGGTCATGCACGTATCGCTCCACCAGGCTCGTCTTGCCCACATACTCCTTGCCCAGCATCACCACCTTGACGTCCACACGCTGCCCGCTCATGCTCCTAGGGCCGCCTCACCGTGTCAGGTCCTGAGCAGGGACGCGAAGCACACCCAATCTCCGGTCGGGCAGTGCCCAGGCTTCAATACCGGCTTCAGGTGCCAGGCGACGACCCCAGACGCGTTGGGTTCGAGATTCCACAGCACCCAGGTCTGCCCCTGCTCTTCGGCCCTTGGCGCCGATCCCCGTCCAGGAACCAGCGACCGGGGCGGCCCGGGGGCGCACGGGGCAGCGCCCACTGCGGCGCCGCACGCCGCCGCCCAGCTGGCTCGATGGCTGGCTCCGCCACTCGCTCTCCGAGCTTAGGCGCCGCTAGGGCAGGGGTTCCCCCACCAACCTAAGGCCCCCACACCGCGGCTCCGGCCCGCCCGCAGCGCCGCAACTCTCGCGGGGAGGGGGAAGGGGTGTGTGGGATGAGGGGGCGGGGCATGGGTCACGTGAACCAGCGCCGGAAGTGGTGGCTTTTGCCCTGCTGCGCCGGAAGTGGCGCGCAGCCCGACAACTCCTCATGGCGGCGGCGGTGGCTGGCTGGGCGCGGCCGTGTGCTCACTGAGCTGCGAACCTGGCGGGCGTACTCCGAGCCGTCCCGGCTTCCCCGTTCCTGCCGGGTTCCATACCCCTGATGCTGCGTGGGTGCTGAGCCCGCCCCTGCTGGGACGATGGTGAAGTATTTTCTGGGCCAGAGCGTGCTCCGGAGTTCCTGGGACCAAGTGTTCGCTGCCTTTTGGCAGCGGTATCCTAATCCCTATAGGTACGTGACCCTGTTAAAAATTAGCCCTCCTCCCTCGCTATTTGGAAATCGAAGTGCGGGGCTGGGAAAATCTCGACATGGAGCCCAAGGTAGGGGTATTGCTGGAACTGAGGCCACCTTTAGGGCAAGAGAATCCTATAGGAGAAGTGGAAGGCTGGCTCCGGGCCGTGATCTATTTGAGGCCCTAGTCCAAGGTTCTCTGGATGGTGAGACAGGAAGAGGCGGTAGCTTAGGAGTTGGGAGGGATGTTGAATCCGGGTCGCTGGAAGTCAAGGAATCCAGGTCACCCAAGGGGCGGGAGTTGGAATTTGTCATGGGGTAGACTAGACTCAAGAGATTCTCTGAGCTACAACAGAGATTATGCTGCAAGATTGGTGGAAGATGGCATTCTGATCCTGGAGGTAACAGATGGGAACCACCCCCACCCACCCACCCACCCCACTCCCAGTTTCGGGCAGACTCCCCAGGGTCACCTTCATTCTGACACCTGCAGCAAGCATGTCTTAACTGAAGACATAGTACACCGGGAGGTGACCCCTGACCAGAAGCTCCTGTCTCGGAGACTCCTGACCAAGACCAACAGGATGCCCCGCTGGGCAGAGCGACTGTTTCCTGCCAACGTTGCTCACTCGGTGTACATCCTGGAGGATTCTATCGTGGACCCACAGAACCAGACGATGACCACCTTCACCTGGAACATCAACCATGCCCGGCTGATGGTGAGACTCTTTCCAGCCCCCACCCCAAAGTAGAAAGTGCCAGGTACACATGGCTAGGGAGCTCCTGTGTTCTGGAGGCAGATCTTGGTTGCTGAGGAGTGGTTACATAGAGTTCAAACTCTGACAATGTTTTCTTTTGATCAGTCTGGCTGGACCTGCCCTTTGATTCATTCATACAAAAAGGAAAAGGGTACCTCCTTGTTTTACAGTTAGGCAAAAAAAAAAAAACTACATGCAAAACACCAGTGATTTGCCTGGCCCAAGTATGGGTTGGGCCTATGGGAATTATATAGAGGGAGGAAGAGAGGTGATGGCCAGGTTTCCATTTCTATTGGGACACCAAGGAGCTTGAGCTGTATTGGATGAGAGGCAGGCTAGAAACACTGCATGTCTGGACAGAAAGCTTCAAAACAAAGTCCAGATCTGAGGCCCCCTGCTGATTTCAGGAGTCCATGAGCCTTGCTGGAAGGGCAGAGGAATGGTGTTAGAGAACCAAGTTACCTATTTACTGTCTTCCTAAATTGCAGTTTAGGAATGCAGTGAGGGACAGGAATGGATTTTTATTTATTGCCTTCCCTCATAAACAGAGATGGGGTAAAAGTTACATGCAGTTCGAGAAAATGAGACTCCCACACAATTGTGGTTGGCCTGGCCCCCTCACAGGTGGTGGAGGAACGATGTGTTTACTGTGTGAACTCCGATAACAGCGGCTGGACCGAAATCCGCCGGGAAGCCTGGGTCTCTTCCAACTTATTTGGTGTTTCCAGAGCTGTCCAGGTGAGCAGCCTGGTGGGAGTGCCAGGGCTCTGGCCTAGGGCATTTGGCATAGGGGCTGGGGTAGGGGATGTCAGTGAGCAATCAGAATCCTTTCCCTTCTTTCCTTTTGCCAGGAATTTGGTCTTGCCCGGTTCAAAAGCAATGTGACCAAAACTATGAAGGGTTTTGAGTACATCTTGGCTAAGCTGCAAGGTGAGGACTCTGGGCAAGAATGGGGGTAGGGAGTGGTACTCCCAGGCAGTGGCTGGGGTCAAGTCTTGACTGCCCTGGCAAATGTGGAGCCTAGGACTCCTCATCTCCCCCCAAGCAAATACCATCTTTGCAGTGGGAATAAGTGGCTCTTGGCATCCTCTGCAGTTGCCCCTGTCATTTGCTGCAGGTGAGGCCCCTTCTAAAACCCTTGTTGAGTCAGCCAAGGAGGCCAAGGAGAAGGCAAAGGAGACGGCATTAGCAGCTACAGAGAAGGCCAAGGACCTGGCCAGCAAGGCAGCCACCAAGCAGCAGCAGCAGCAGCAGCAGTTTGTGTAGGCAGCCCAGACCTTGCTGCAGAAGCACGCCAGACCACCCGCTTGAATCCCTCTGCTTCCCCTTGTACTTATTATTAAAAGTCAACTTCCAGCCCTATCTACTGTCTGGGTGCCGCCCAGGGGGTGGTGGTGTCCTATTTGGCATCCACAGTGCACCAGGCATGGTATCCCGTGTCTGAGCCCGGCCTGCTTATTTCCCTTAACTGGGCAGCTGTGGACAGATCCCCCTGGGTGGAGCTACTCGCCCAGTGTCACAGGCAGCATGCAGGTAAAGTGGTGAGACACTAGACTGTAAGCTCCATGAGGGCAGGAACCTTTTGTTTTGTTCTCTGATGTGTCCCAATGGAACAATACCTGGCACATAACAGGCACTCAATAAATACTTGTTGAATTCAGTCAGCCCCAGCTTGGGGGTGAGAAAGCTTTGGTTCGCATCTTAACTCCACTGTTTCCTGGCTTTGGGTCACAGGCCAGTCACATCACTCAGCCTCAGCCCTGCCTAATCCTGGGAGGATTAACTGGGCACTGCCTGGGCCGTCAGCGGTGGAAGTTACTGCTGACCCATTTCCTGTTTTCCAGTTGTCTTGTGAGTTTCCCCATTTTCATCAGGCAACAACATACACCGAAGTTAAGAAAGAGGTTTTTAATGAAAATACTGTACAGGGTCTGTAGGGCAAAGGCCAGAGTGCCTTATCTAGGAAGGAACTCCAGGAGGCTTCCTGCTCCCATGAGGACAGCAGAGCCAAGTGCTACAGAAAAAAAATGCCTGAAAGAGTGGCCCAGGTCCAAGCTACCTGCCCTGCAGGGCTCAGGGGAGCCCAGCCCACTCTTACCCCAACCCCACTAGCAGGCAGCAGGGTAAGGGGAGCACCAGGGTCCTTTTAGTCCCATGCCAGGGTCCTTTTAGTCCATTCCCAACGAGAGGTGACTTCTATCAGCGCTGGGAGCTTGGGGAGGGCTTCTGCCTGGCAGAGCCCAGGCAGGTCAAGGGTCATAGCCAGGTGGTGCCGCTGTGTGAGTAACTGTGTTCCTGGCCTGCACTGAAGCCCCGCAGCAGCTCGGCCTCGCTTCCGAAAACCAGGCTCTCCACGTCCACTTCCAGCTCCTCTGTACAGGGAGGGGCTCGTCAGAAGAGCTAGTTTCTGAGGGCCACACCCCAGGGCTTCAGGGCACTCACCTTGGTCTGAGTCCCAGCGCTCAGAGGAGAGACCTGAAGAGTCCAGGCTGTCTGCACGTAGCCGCTCCCACTCACCAGCGCCCGTCAGCCCTTGGAGTTGTTTGAGCTGCTGCTGCAGGCTCTGCTGCCTACTTCGCAGCTTTTCTTTGAGCCTTCTGGCCCGCTGTTCCTGCTCCTCCAGCTTCTGCAGATCCCAAAGGAGCATAGGGTCAAAAGGTCAGCTGCCTGGGGGTCAGGCCTCACCCCAACACCCCTCCTTAGTCTGACAGCCACTTAGTGACTGCCTGTTTAGACCAGGAAGGGCTCACTAAGTGTGGGCCCAGAGGGTGGCCTTGTCCTCCAGGAAGCCAGACCTGCCCACAAAAATGGCCCGAGGATGCAGGGAGCGGACACCACAGGCTCACTCAAAGGCCTTGGGACATGCTGGTGTCTGTCACTAGGAAGAGACAACTGTGACTTAGTATATCTAGCATGTGTCCTCTGGCTCAGGGAGGCAGCCACCACCAGGTCTAGCAAAAACTAACCCATGGAAACAGACACAGTGCTGCTGGATTTCCAACTCCTTGAAGAGAAGCTAGAAGGTAGTTTTTCCACATCAGAAGTGCCACCAACTCAAAATTTTAGAAAACTACAGGCTGACCGAAGGCTACCAGTTTGTAACTCTTGGCCACGATTCTCCCAGCAGCTAGAGGCTTAGCATCAGGAGCCTTCTCCAGCTCTGCTGACCCTGATTTCCAGGAGTTCTACCACCAGAAGCCTGCAGTCAGCAAGAAGGGGAGAATTGGGTTGGGGTAACATTTGAACCAGCTGTGGAGAATTGGGCATGGAAGCACGAGGGATAGGGAAATTTGGAAAAGTAAGGCAATTCAGCTTTTTTTTGGTGGGTAATAGAGAGAGGGGAAACCAAAAGAGCAGGCCAATGGCAAGGCGTGAGCTGAGCTGTGAAGGCCTTGAGTGTATCACAAGAAGAAATCAGGGCTTTCCTTTTAAGAGCTAAGGAAGGTTTTCAGCAGGAGCCTGACATGATTAGATCTGAATTTCAAAGAACATTCTAGGTACAGGTGGAGGACAGCATGATGGAAGTAAAATAGGAATCAGGGAGGCCAGGAAAGGGGTGCTGAGGTTTGAAGGAATGAGATTCCATATGTCCTGCCATGGGCCTGCCAGCACCTGAGGAACACATCACCTGTCTGAGAACCAGGTCAGGCAAACCCTGTGTGAGAGAGTGGGGCCTGAAACATGGCCAGCATGTTATCCAGCCACAATAAGAGGAATGCAGGCACCTATGGGAGAGTGCAAACAATTCTCATACCATGATTATGTGCTGCATAGTACAGACATCTGTGTCTGCCACAGGCACTAACACTTAGAATAGCCTGGCAAAGCAGGCCCCCAGGAAGTAAAAAGATGCAAGTCAGGGGCCTGGGCCTTCTATCACTGTGCAGCCTGGTCCTTAACCTGGCTGTGCTTTCATTTCTTCCTCTGTCAAAGGGGCCTGGAAGGCAGTAAAAAAGGCTCTATTGTTTACAGAGCTGCTGCTAATCCCACATCTGGGACTGCCTGGGGCTTTCACACAGCCAAACCCCACTTCTGTCCACCAAAGGGTACAACAGCAGCAAGGACTCTGGGAAGAAAAGTGAGTGGTCCCCTTGCAATCCTTTTCCCTCCCCTGGGCTCTGGAAAGGGGTCACCTGCAACAGGAGGACTTGAAGGATGAGGAAGAGGGAGCCGGGACCAGGGCAACCTATCAATCTCTTCCATAGCCATAGAGAGGAGCTAAATGACTCACCCATGGTCTCATAGTTGGAATCAAGTAATAATGTAATAACAGCAAACATGTATAGGGCAAACTCGATTAAGACTCAGGACAATTCTGAGTTACTTTCTGCTAAAAAAAATTGTCCAGTAACACAGATTGGTTGTGACCTCAGTTCTCTCCCCAATTCTGCCCAGCCCCGGCACACTACACTTTGCCCATCCTGGCAAGCTGGCGACTGCGTAGGGGTAGTCCCTTACCTGGATGTGCATCCTGGCCCTGCGCAGAAGGGTCAGTGTGGTGTATCTGGCACAGTCCGCTCCCAGGGGCATCTGCTGCTTCAACTGCTCCAAGCATCGCTTCAGTTGGGCTCTCCTGTGGGGGGAGGGATTTGGGGGGCAGTGCTGGCCAGAGAGATGGCAAGGGGAGGGAAGGCATTCCTGGGCCTGATGAAGTTGGGTCAAGGCTGGGACTCACCTACGCTTCTCCAGTTCATTGTGTACAGACCTGCCAATGCCAAAGAGGATGAGGTGAGCAGGTGGGCGCTCACACCCACACTCACTCCCCGGCTTCCCAGGGGTCTCAAAATTCCCTTCTGAAGGGCACCTGAGACCCCAGAACTGAATGCGAAGAGTTGAGCAGAGTGAAAGGGGGAAGTTTGTAGGGGGGACGCTAGTAGTTTCATATGTGGAGAGTGGGGGGTGTGAGGGGAGGCAGAACCCAGATCTGTCCTGCTCACAGTTCCTGGCACAAGAGAGTGCGTGTGCGTTGGGGTCTAGGATATGATATGGCAGGAGGGTCCTGAATGCCACCAAAGCAGGGTACCTGGGCCAGAAGATGCAAGCAACTGGGAGGAAATGGGCAGAGGAGGGGCCCTTACAGGGATGGCACCCTACCCGTCTCAACCCCCTACCCTCCTCACCGCCCACCGTCCAGCGCGCCAGGAGCTTGAGGTGATCGCTTCCTCCTCCTGTGGGCTGGCCCCGGACTGCGGTGCGGACACAGGGATGCGTAGCCATGCTCCGCCTCTGTCAGAGAGACCAGGGTCCCCAGTCAGTCTGGGACTGGTTCAGCGGATACCCCTGGCACAGCGTGGGCAGGCGGGGGCGTTTGGCGCCAGGGCCAAGTGCCCAACCGTTCCAGCCTGCCTACCCGCCAACCTCGCTGGAGTTGAGGACACAGACCCCCGGAGCGACTGCCCTAAGGCCACACACCCTTCAAGTTGGGAGCCAAGTCCAAGCCAGGCGGGTGTCAGCGCGGTAGCCGCCTGGAATCTGGCCAAAGGGTCCTCCTCACCTCTCTCGCGGCGCTCTAGGAACTCGGCCGCCTGCAACAGGACCTGGATGTTGCTGGCCACGGCGTCCATGTCGGGACAGCTGGCGGCGGGCGGGCCTTGGGTGCGGGCCGGAGCAGCGGCGGCCCCACTTTTGTTACAATGTAACTGACACGGAGCAACAAACACCAGCCCCGGCCCCGCCCCCGGGCGCCCCGCCCCCGGGAGGGCCCGGCTCCTCCACGCAGTGCGCCGCCGTGATGATCCAGTCGGGGCTGATGATGGAGCCCCCGCAGACGTGGATGCCCTGCACGTGCAGGCTGACCTGCC